TTGTAGAACATGACATGTTCTTGCTGGAGAACCAACTTCCTTATCAACTCCTCCAACTGTTGATGAGCTCGAGCCAAATACAGGAGGAATTGAAGAAATCAATCGATGACGTTGTTTGGAGAAACAGCCCTGCAGCAGCACATCAGAACCGACAAAAACAGAGGTCACAACCAGGACAAGACGTAGCAATACCCATGGAAGCAGAGCCAACTCATCTGCTTGAGCTTCTTCGGACAACAATGCTAGGACGACCTTCACCTAACAACAAAGATACTAAACGTTCCCACTCTTTTCGCAACGTGCAAGAGCTTCGGGCAACTGGGATCCATTTTAGTCCTAGTGATGGCAACTCATTGAGTAGCATATATTTTAATTCTTCTGATCTATTCCGGGGAATCCTTCATCTTCCTCAAATAAAAGTAGACGACTCGACCAGACCCAAGTTCATGAACTTGATAGCCTACGAAATGTGGCCTGATTTCCACAATGATTTCGGGGTCACCTCTTACATATGCTTGCTCGATTCGCTCATCGATCATCCCGATGATGTAAAGTATCTGAGGAAAAAGCGGATACTTCGAAACTTGCTTGGCATTGGCAATGACGAGGAGGTGGCTCAGCTCTTCAATGAGATAGGCACTGACTTGGTGCCTAACAATGACATTTACTCCTCTGTTAAAGACAAAATAGAAGATCACTACGATAACTGGGGTAACAGAGTGATGGCTCAATTCTTTCACGAGCATTTCAGCAGCCCCTGGTGTGGTATTGCTTTCCTTGGTGCTCTCCTAGGGGTTGTGTCGAGCATCGTCCAGACTGTTAACTCAGTCCTCAGTTATCATAATAATAAATAGGATTCTCTATAAGCAGAGATTCACAACCCCAATCCTCCACACCCTCTCCCTGCAATAAGAGATGAGCTATAGGCATTGAAAATGCCTGGGCTTACACTCATTTCTGTTTTCTGGTTTGCTCCAATAACTGTACGCAAGAGTGTGACTAAATAAATCAAGTTGAGCATGTAATGGTTTATCTGTTTTCTTAACGTGGTTGAAGTTTTTCTCATGAGCATAACGTATTTGGTATCTTCCACTTGTTCCGAACTGATTCCTGTGGCTGAATTCAACTTTTCTCATGAGCATATCCAGAAAATAGGCTAAATGTGCCATGTCATTGGGCCAAACTGAGTCAGCAGGGCGAAGAGGCAGAATGTTGGGCCAAATGTGGCCTGACTCCTGGGTGGGCTGTAATTGTTTTTTTTCAAAAGCCAGCAATTGCTTCAACTAAGAGCCTTGAACTTAAAAAATTCAGACATCTTAAACACCAAGAAACACTAAAATTCACAACACAATCAGCGAGAGCAAACGAGCAAGCTTTTCTCAATTATAAAATAGAATTAGTTAATTCAATTTGAAGATCAACTACGAACATAAATAACTCAACAACCCAAGAGTGTTATTGCATCTCCAAAGGACTGAAGCCTTTATCTATAGCGAGGAGTAACTAGGAAAAAAAAAAACCTCAAGCAGGTTAACTTTAACTTTAACATCAGTTCTGGGAAAAAAAATATAAAACATAAAACATAAAATTGATGATGTGCCATATGTTAAGTGGTTAGATTATTTGAGTGGCTTAAATTTCACGAAATACGGGTAAATGCATGAATCCTAAATGTAGAGGCTCGGGATCCCCTTTAAAGAAGTTAGAGAGCTTTTGAAACAAAAGCTTTCTTGATATGGACACCATACTCGGAAAATGTAGAGGCTCGAGATCCCCTAATTGCAACCAGCCCTTTTCAAATACTCAAATTCCCCCCCTCTCTCTCATCACAAAATCGACTTTGTTTCTCTCATTACTATACCATTGAATGCATCTGATGGCTCAATTTTAATATCCGCTTTTAAGAAAATCCAGTCATCATGATGTGAGAAAAACTGTATATACATTAACATGATGTGAGTTAGGCCAGTTAGCAAAGGTAGTGAGCCGACACAAGTTCAAACCATCATTCCTATAAATTAGTAGTTTAGACTATCATTTATATAATATGAGTGCTGCTAAACGAACCCTAAAATTAACTGAGTACACCCTAATGTTTAAATTAAAATGTAAAATTAACTAAGTACACCCTATTTAACTACCAAAAATACCCATGGTACACC